AAAAGTTGCCAAGGAAAGCGTTAACTCGAAACGTCAAAGACCTCCTGATAGAAGAATTAGACTGATCGAAATTAACTGGGACTCGGCCATGTAATAATGACGCCATCAATGAAACGAATAGACTACGAAATATAACAAGCTAATTCTTCTATAAGGTATGCCGGAGGAATAGGTACCTACCTACTTCTATAGAATATAGTTTATCCTAATAATAGTTTTCCCCGTTCCTTAAGTTTTTCTGTTGAAGGACTCTCCGTTTTATAGATGGACTTTCGTATTGATCGATAACTATCGATTGAAACTAAAAAATATTTAATAAAATAATGATAAAAAACTTTTAAAACAAGCTTTCATTCAAGTGCCCTAAAAAGATCAAAATAAAATTTCATATCACATTAACCACATTCATCTATGACTTTACAGAATTGAAATTATAATAAAATCTTGTCGCGATAATTTCAATTTGTAATTAGGTAGGCTCTTACTAAACTTGTAAGCAATTCATAATGTTTATAATTAATTAAAAGTGCTTGAAATGTAGAACTTCAATCTTGAATAACTTTTTTGCACACATAGGATTTATCGGGTTTGAAATTTATTGCAGTACCTAGTTGATCTGTCAGAATGTTTCTTAATTTAAACTTCATCTGACTGAACACGTAGACATTTCTTCTAGGCATCGCGACAAAATTTTATTATAATTTCAATTCTGTAAAGTCATAAATGAATGTAGTTAATGTAATTTAATATTTTATTTTGATCTTTTTAGGACAAAAAAACTTCTTTCTCGATGCAAATGTTGAAAAACCAGATATTCTGGTAAGTCATGGTACATCTAAGAATTAACTTGAAGTACCACAAGGCCTGTAGATTTAGTTCAGGAGCGAGAGCCTCTCAACTCCCCAACTTCTGATGCGATAACTGAACCTGAAAAAAAGTAAAAAAAAGGTTTGGTGGTGCAGCCAGGAAACGACTGAGTGGTCTTCTCCGTGGTTATCTTGTTTATGTCGAGTTCTGAATGACTAAATGCCTGTCTCTGGGTTAACGTCTATTAGGTTTTTAGGTTTCGGCGACAGAGACGAGTCTCTGTCGACTTCTTGTAGCTTGTGGCTATGTTTGTAGAAGTCTCCATTCTTCTACTTTTCTTTTTTCTGTCGTGCAGACATAGGTTCCTTCAGTTTCTCTTTTCAATTTTTTCCGGCAAGCATGGCTTGCAGGACTGGGAATTTCGTTAGAATTTCCTGCAGCTGCCCTAGGGCCGTTGGGAGGCCTTCGGGAGAGCTGTGGGAATTCTCCGTTGCGGACACGGCTCTCGCATATGAGATTCCGTCTCTGACTACATTTTGCCTGGCTGTCCTCGGGTTTGTGGGCTGCCGTCTGTCATTTGGCACGTCTGTGACCTTTTTTTTTGTTTTCTGGGCGTTCTGGGCACCCGGAGAAACTGGCTGGATGCTCGCCTTTACAGTTGAAACACCGCATGGGCGAGTTTTTTTGTCTTTTACACTCATTTGTTAAGTGTCGTCCGGCACACTTTACGCAAGCGGGAACTGCTTTACAGTTCCGCTATGTGTGTCCGAACTTTTGACACCTAAAACACTGTCCTACTCTATTCCTTGGGCGTTGTGTTTCTGCACTTACGCGGACATTTTGTAATTCTTCCACTTGGAAAATGTTAGCTTGGTTTCTAGGTACCAAGACTAACACAAATGGGATCGGTTTTCTATTTGACTTGCTCATCCGAGCAATGGAAATAACTTCAAAATCTTTTCATTGTAGTTCGGTCTTTATGTCCTCAGTTTCCAGGGATTCTGGAACTCCGCGGAAAACGACTCTTAGAGGCTTATCGGCTTGTACCGAGTAAGTATGATACGGTATTTTTTCGTGGTCTAGGATTTTTGTAAGTTTCCTAAATTCATCTATGGTGTTTAGATGAACTTTGATCCCATCGTTTGTATTTATCGCCCGCGAGATGGAAATGTTCTGCGCGGAGGCGATTGAATTAAATTCTTTCCATTTTTCCTTCGCCCGTATTGTTATTGGCGGAGGTTTTGTGGTCTTTTGTTTTGGTTGTTCTTGTCGAGTTCCCGTGGCATCCTCGACCTTATTTTCCTCGTCTAATTCCATCCTTTCGGGTTTATTATCATCTTTTGTTTGGGGATTAACCTTCTGGGCTACCTGCTTATCCTTTTGTTTAGGCCCTTCCGGCTTGCCCGAGTTTTGTGACGTACCAGGTGTGACGTCATCGGATTTGCTTTCACTATTCCGTTCAGATAAGGAATTTTTGCTCTTTTTCTTTTTTGGCTGTTGTACCGAGCTTATTGTTTTTTCCACAGAGGGCTCAGGCGTGGCCGCTCGTTTTTGGGGTATACTTTCTTCCATGATTTCTTCATCCTCTGAAGGTATGCTGTCGAAATCCGGATCTTCTATATCGTTTTCGTAGCTTGGCAAAGCTTCGAAAAGCTGGTAATATTTTGGCTTGCGATTCTGTTTGTTATTTTCCATCACTTTCTCAAAATATTTATATGACTTCGCCAGCTCTAAGCTGGAAACGTCATATCTATCTAATAGTGCAGCTACTAGTGCAAGTACTGCGTCTCTTGAGTTGTTTCTTCGGAAGTAAAGAATATTATTCAATAATTCCTCCATTATTAACGCTTATCGACCTAAAACACTTTTAGGGGATAGCGGATTATAAAACTGTTCACTCATCAACGTCTCAATCGCAACTGATGATAACTCAGTGGTCTCCTCAAGAGCGGGATACCTTATAAAACCGCCTTGCACCAAATTCTTGAGCGGCGTACGCATAATCTGTCTCAGGTGGGGGAACAAACCTTCCTCCATGAGCAGGTTAGCAAACGTTTGAGCTCAAAACTAGAGACGAAAAAACCCTGCACGGTTGAATCTAAGGCATCGTCAAGTGTAGCTGACGTGCAAAAACCCTCATATGGGAAGGTTGTCGCGGGTATCAAGATGGGAATCTTGCTGCTCGACTATCAGACTACCTCATTAACGATGAAACAGCAGAGCATATACTTTGTACCTGCCCCGCTGGGGACCAAATCAGGTTTTTAGAGTTCGGCAGAGCCGTACTCTTACCATCTGATCTGAAAGACTACTCACCATACAAACTAATATGGGAAGGTTGTCGCGGGCATCAAGATGGGAATCTTGCACCTCGACTATCCGACTACCACATTAACGATGAAACAGCAGAGCATATACTTTGTACCTGCCCCGCTGGGGACCAAATCAGGTTTTTAGAGTTCGGCAGAGCCGTACTCTTACCATCTGACCTGAAAGACCACTCACCATACAAACTAATCGACTTCGTTAAGAAGCTGGGTTTATTTGGTCGAGTGTAAATAGGTGTGAGCCACAATAAACCTTTGCGGGTTGCGTTGGAGGGTCGAATAGACCCACTCACTTTGGACCTAACCTAATCTAACCTAACCACAAGGCCAAGAAACTAGTCGTAGCGTCCTTCAATTTTCTAATCGATTCGGACGTTACCTGATGATGATCCACAGTAATTTCATAAACTACACCTTACGATTCGTTCTCTACAAACTGAAAAGCATATGAATTTGATTCTAGTAGCGCCATCTGTATTAGCTTACGAACTTTCCAACCTACCTAATATATCCTTAAAAATTTAGAATTAGATAACTAAAACTTCTGGAAAAAATTTTGATGATCTGAATAATCGAAATTAAAATAATTCTGAAATGATATAATACAATCTGAAGAACACCTCTGTGAATTCTACGTTCATAAATGTCTGTATATGAAACAATGTTTTAATTTTTATTTCAAGTTAAGTTATAACAAGTTTCCTTCGTAATGTTCATATCTTAGTTTATTCATGATAAGATATTCATTTTAAGATATTATTGCATTTATTCATGAATAAACTCATATTATCATTATTGTAGATATTGTCATTAGGACCCAAATAGTAACTATGGCATTTGCTTTCGTTTGAATTGCCTTCTCTTGAGGTCAAAATACTCTCGAGCTGAAGCTGGATTTTCAAATGAGGGCTGATTCGACATAATCTTTCTGAAGAGATTATTTGAAAATTATTATTTCTGTCATTAAGGTCCCACTACCATGAAACCAATAAAAAACAGCATGGCAACTCAGTTTCAACTTTTCTAACATAAAAGGGCTGAACTATAGTATATTATGCAACGATCATGTAATGATGGTTATGCGATGATGGTATATGCGAGTGTATTAATAACCATTACATGAGAGTTGCATACGCTATTTTTTCTAAACCCGATAAATAATGAAAAACTATAAATATTATATTTGTATTGAACATATTTACAGTAATTAACTCATACTTTTTTTAAAAAACACAAACTTAATGGTATTATCATGGATATATGAAAACTATAAAGAGTCTAATTATATTTATATTGAATATGACAACTGTAATTAATCTGGTCATTTAAAAATCATACATGTTTCGATTGTGCCATTCAATATCGCTGTTTTCAGACATTTTGATAATATAGGTAGGTAATATGAAAACTCATTCTGACAAATAAAGCAATTAGTTACTTAGGTTAGAATCTAGGACAAACAAAGGAACAGGATTCTTGATTGAAAAATTATGGGTTTCTATTGGTTGATAATCTGTATCGTTATGAAAAATCTGTATCATAATGGATATCATTATGAAACGGATTATGGCCATATAACTGTATTGTTAGAGTACGGCTGTAGAAAAAAATAATAATTTGGTCCACCTTCATTCAAAAAAGAGTCCTCATATTCCGGTACTTATCGGAACTGTATTCGACAGAACCCCTGTTTCCAACAAGAAGGAACATTAAATTGGTTAAGGCTACCTTGAAAGGCTACCTTGCTACCTTAAAAGAAGCCTGATTATTCAAGCGACCTTCAATGAATAATCTTACAAAAATGATATTGTTTACAGTTAGTTCATTTCATGATTTCTTTGAAACTTGAATGTCAAAAATTTGTCACGTCATTGTGACACATAGTCTCTAACTTAACTGACTCACATTTGAGTATTCAATAATGACGAATTCATAAGATATGTATTTAGTGAGCATACGAGAGGTTTCACTGACAAAAAAGTTCTAACAAATATTATTCCAGGACAAATCTTATCCCACAGCAGTGTTCTGTATAATTGCCACCGAATTCTGCGAAAGATTTTCCTTTTGTGGCTTACGAAGTGAGTATTTATAGTTTTCCTACACATTCAAAAGGAAAAATAGAAGGCATCTGCACTCATCTAAGCAAGTATTTATCCGACTTTATTATCAACATTTTCCGTACATTTTGTTAATCAGTATTAATTCTAGAGGCTTCTCTTTCATACAGTTACCGAAACGCGAAAGAAAAAAAACTTCGCATCAATTTCAAATACTTCAAGTCGCTTCAAGTAGATAACCAGGTGGATGATGATCGCGATCAGTTTGAAGTTGCATAACACCAAACCTTACGAATAAGTCATTTATTGTCTCATAACCACAGTTTAGTTTGTCGTGAAATCTACCAAGATACTATAATATTTCTCTCTGTACTTCTTCTGTTGATTTCAGACTAACGTCTATGCTTTCTTTGTCGAACGTTTTGGAAATAACTTCTTATTATTTCAATTGGAATAGGCAATCAATCACATTTCAAAGATGAGTAGGAAATATCTCTTTCCACAAAAACCAGTACCAGCTATAAACTGAGTTCTTCGATTATTATCTGTTTTCTGCCATGAATTCCTGCTCTGGTTGCATAACATTCTCCATTTGCGTGAGCAAGAAGGTGGTGTTTTATGAAAGCTGTTCAGTGTTGTTATAAAATAGAGTGAATCCTTTTAATGCCCCCTCTTTTATTTTTTTGAACGGGTTAACTCAAAAAATTGAAATTTGGGATAATGAAATTAAACCATGAAGGACAGTACGTTATGTAGACGTCTCAGTCATCCTAGTTCAGAGCAAATACAATAGTGAAGCGAAGGGGCGCATGGAGCAGTATACTAGACGGATCGATGAAGAAGGGCTGAACATAAGCCCAATGGAATCAATCAATTTTCAAGAGGACCAAAACGAAGGACCGATGACCTCTCAAATTTCGAGATGAAGAGATACAGTTATCGGGTGACTCTAGATTCCGGGCTGACCTGAAACCAAGATTTAGAAAGAGTGAATAAGAGTAAAGGTAGTACCGATGCTGATCATATGCGCTTTCGGAAAGACATGGGTGCTGAAACGAGATAAGATGGCTCTATACCGTAGTGGTAAAACCCTATGCTTTGGTGGCCAACAATTAAACAAACGATCAATCTCAATAGACCAAGCAAGGAGCAAAAACTTGTATTTTGGGAATAACGCGAGCAATGAAAAGCAGTCCAACAGCTGCTTCGAAGAACCTCTTGAATTTACTTCATTTACAACTGGTAATAATGGGAGAAGCTAACGTGCCGATTTACAGTGAAAAATTCATCCAGTCACATGGAATCGAGCAAAACATGGATTTCGGTACATTGTCAAAATAGTCTGGAACATCGAAAATAGTTGAAGATTTGTCTCTCTTTTATGGATACTTTCATGGGAGGTGTTCAAGTGATACGGCACATTTGATTCCATCAAGAGTGATACATAGAAATACGCGACGGACTGTGGGTGCTCATCATTTTGAGGTTCACTAAGTACACCTCGAACTTCACTTTTTACGAACTCTTCCATTTGGAAAACTGCGTTTTTGCGGAATAAACTTCTTGAGAACGTTTTTCCAAATGGATTTAATTTCCAATGAGTCGAATTCAAAAAAAATAACAATTATAGTAATGATAATGAGGTATTTCTTTTTCTTAAGAAATCACAGTATTTAACCATATTCACAATCTCAAAGGAGAGTTTACTCATCAGTGCTCTACTTCCAAACCCTTCTCATGTTTGCAATATGATTTTATGAATTACTAGCAATCCGCCTCGACTCCGCTCAGGTGCAATGCTGTGAGTAATACAGTATTACGGTACTAAGGGTTGGAACTCCATTACTGGAATGCTAGATGACGTTAAAGTAGCTATATTTTCAGATTTTTTTGGCAAAAATTTTTTTATCTTACATAATGTTACTATGTTACTTCTAATACCTCCAAGAATATATTTATAAAATTTCATGATGATCGTTTGAGTAGTTTTCGCGTAAAACCGTAACAAATAAACTTACATTCGCATTTATAATTTTAATAGGGAAGTAGGGATGTTCCACCCTCATTCTACCTATTCTGAACTAGAAAAAAAAACAACTTATTTTTAGTGAAAAATATCCTTACCCTCACCTGAAACTAAAAGAGAATAATAGATGAGACCTTATGTTATAAAAACATAGACTTCCACAGCCGAAGTCATGATTCAAGAGAATTCGGGCTAGTGGACCGTGGTAGAAAGGTACTACAATTTTCATTCAACCACGGTCTTCTAGTTCACTAGAAATTTTCCCAAAACAGTTTTTACAGACTGTTACAGTTGAAAAATGATATCCTTGTGAACTACATCAGATCTGAATTTCCAGCGATTCGAATCCAATGATAACCGCCCTGGGAATTTTTCTATTGTTCGTGAATTCAAATTTCCTATCACATTTTGCATATACAGTGCATTCCATTTCAAACTAGCCACTCTGAATAACTTTTTGTGAAATGATTTGCAGAAAAAAACACGTTAACCATATAGTATACAGAAGGACACATTTTGACATATTCACATTTGCCTAACTTTCCCCTGTCGCACCCCCAGAGCATCTCACCATTTTTTTAAATGGATCACCCTATATTGTTTCGCATCATCAGATGCTTCATTATGGGCAGATTTCAACAAAGTATAAAACATATGGTCTGAAGCTTATGGTTCGGGAGCTACGAATTATTTGAGTTGAAAACGAACCACCCGGAATAACTTTTGGAACATTGATTTTTCAGGAAAAATAAAAAAAACACCTCAACAATACAGGGGGACACATTTTGACATATTCACATTTGAACTAACTTTCCCTATTGTACCCCCAGAGCATGTCAACATTTTTTTTTAATGGATCAATTGTTTTGCATTATCAGATGTTCCATGATGAACAGATTTCAACAAAGTAAAATACATTATGGTCTGAAGTTCATAGTTTGGAAGCTAAAAATTATTTGAGTTGAAAACGAGCCACTTTGAATGAAATTCCAATCTGTTACCTTCGTTTCATAGGTGATTTTGTAAAGAATACTTCAGAAAAGTCTTATTCTGCATAATTAAATTTGAATTTTGTATTTGTCTCATTCTACAATAATGGGGAATATTCCTCCTGACGAAAATCAAGTAGTTTTCATAAAAGAGCTCTAAAACAACGCATTTTGAACTTATCATTTCAACCTTTTCCTTAAAAAACTATTTAAATACTCAAAAAAGAGGAATGAAATAATGCATTCAACATTTAAAGGGATTTGTTTCTATTTCATCATTTGGCAACATCGATTATAGCTAATAAAGGACAATGAATCTGTTACCTGTGTGAGACAAACAAAGATGATATATTTCAGAGGCGTGCTGTTCTGTTTACTTATGTTCCGAGTTCCGAGACATTCTGTACTATATAAATAAATAACAAAACAACTGTTGTTTATGTGGCTTGTGGAGGTGGTATTGAACTATTATTTATATTTTGTCCTAATTGTTGATTTATAAAGATAATTTTCCTTTTTCAAAGTAGAATATCTAGGTAAGTATAAATTATTTCAACTTGATATAGACACTGTTGCCAATATGTGAATTAGAAACAAATCCCTTTACAAACTAAAACCCAACATTTGAAACATCAATTTGAATACTTTTCGAAGTGAATTTGAAAAACTCGTGAATTAAACTCAACCTTATTTTGTTCAAACTTGCATTTGCTGTAATAACCCAAAATGAGGAACATTCCCCACTTATATTTTTGTGAATTCTTGAGAAGCAATGGTTCATACGCTTTGAGAACGGATTCAAATAGTGAGTTTGTACTACCAGAATGGAAATAGTGCTGGAGCTGCTTCCCGTATGTTCAATGATAATCATCCAGGAAGAAATGACACAAATACGTTTCGGAATTATTGAACAAATTTATGGAAACTGGATCTGTTAACAATGGAAAGCATAACCGTTCAGGAGTTGTCAACGATGAAGCTATTTGTACTGCAGTTTCAGGGCACGTTAGACTAATGGAAAATTCGCAATCTATTATTAAGTTATCTCAAGAATCAGAAATCAGTCGTACGAATTTTTACAGGATCCTTCATAAGTACAAGTTTCATCCATATAAGGTTAGACTAGTTCATGAATTGAACGAAGATGAGTTTTATAGACGTAACTTGTGAGTCTCACTAAACGGATCAACTTGCATCAGAATTTCTTGTATAAAATTTGTTTTTCGGATGAATGTACATTTAGTTTGAAATGAGAGGTGATTCGACAGAATTGTGGATATTGGAGTAATACGAATCCTCATTTATACCGTCAAGTTCATACCCAATGACCACAAAAACTGAATATTTGGGCAGGAATTCCCGGTGACCACATCATAGCACCTTATTTTATCGATGATAAATTGACTGGTGTTGAATATTTGGATATGTTGGAGAATCGAATAATACCGTGCAACAATAGGACAAATGAGGAGGATATAAATTTATTCGAAAACGAAATAGTTTTTCAGCAAGATGGTGCACCTACTCATCATGTAGCTCTAGTGCGACAATTTTTGTACGATCAATTTCCTGGTCGCTGGATTGGCAGAAGAGGTCTACCGAATGGCCACCCTCCGGATCTCACTTCTGTATTTTTTTTATATGGGGTCATTTGAAGTCTACAGTGTATAAGATAGAATCAACAACATTAGAAGATTTGAGAGAGGATATCATGAGGCATTGCAGAGAAATAACTCCCAACATTCTGAACCATGTGAGGGCGGCAATGGAAGCTCGTTCGTACCATTGTATGGAAGTTGGTGGAAACGTTATTGAACTGTAACGAATCTGAAGCCGGCCCTGACCGATATCTCAGCCAGCAAACACATGACTCACCGCGAGCCGCTGCGAAAAGTATAGATGAGTGTCGAAACGACTAAAGAGATCTGGAGTGATCGTTGCCGATATAAAAACCGGCTTCCCGTCCCGAGATAGCAGTCTGTATTGAGAAAGCGAATCGAGCGGTTAACAGAGAATTCGAACAGTGAAGATAAATTGAGCGTTAGTTGCTAAGTGTTGTATATAAATTAGTTGTGATAGTGAAATATTGTTGAAAATAAATTTGTTTGAGACAGTTATTTTTTGATTCGTTACAGAACATTTACTATAGAAAATTTTTTTCTTCTCATTGTCCAGTCATCAGATTTTGATTCAAGAATTAATTAAAAATCTCTTCTTCCGATTTATTGCTTCTATATTTGTCTCTAAAACGAATATTTCAAAATGTGGCCGCCTGTATAATTGTTGAATTTTTTTTATTTTCATTGCAAATCATTGTTTCAAAGGTTATTCAGGGTGGCTCGTTTCCAACTCAAATGATTTGTAGCTCCCGAACCATAAGCTTCAGACCATATGTTTTATATTTTTTTGAAATCGGCTCATCATGTAGCATCTGATAATGTGGAACACTATAGGGTGATCCATTTAAAAAAATTGATGACATACTCTGGGGGTGCGATAGAGAAAGTGACATCAAATGTGAATATGTCAGTGTCCCCCTGTGTACTATAATTGACGTGTTATTTAATTTTTCCTGCAAATCATTGTACCAAAAGTTATTCAGGTTGGCTCGTTTCAAATGAAATGAACTCTATGGTTACCCTATGTTGTACAACTGATAAATTCTTTATATTAATTTTCAGCAATTCNCCTTTTTTTTGTATCAGATGGAGTAGTAGAAAGCCAAAAACTTTCTTTCCCAAAAAATTAATCACTCCTAAAAATATAACCCCTTCAATTCAAATTAATTCTTAAATTCAGTGTCATTTGATATAGAACAAATTTTGTGAACAATCGTTTTCAATGTGTTGAACAAATGCATGAATAAATTAAATTCAAACAGATAAATTGTTAGTTGAATGAATTGAGGAATGAATATTCGTGACAATAAAACGTAAAACGACGTTTCATACTTATTTCGATTGAATTGAATAAGTATTTACTGAGATATTACAGTTTAGATCAGACTCGGACAAACGGAAAAAAAATAAAAAAGTCGAATAGAGAATTGAAATTTTCATCAAACTATTCATCACAAGATAGAGCATATCTATAAAAAGGCTTTTTCTCAGAAAGTACGAAAAATGATATCGAATTCTATGGAAAATTTTGTTCAACCTTAATATCTTGTTCCGTTCAGAGGGGGATATTATTACCGTCCGCAGTGAATTCAATTACCTACATTTAATGATCTATAAAACAATGATAAAAATAAAATAAAAACTACTATAAAAATTAATTGGCGCTCCGGGGCGACTTCATTGATTCCAGTGACGCATTTGCGATATTTTCACTGATATCATCGTGAAAGTGGAATCAGAAACAACAACAAAAAATTTGTGCTCTTTACCTATTATATTTATTCTCATCTCTGTTGTAAGTATTATCGTTTCTTAAAAGTAAAACAGATCATTATTGTTACGTATTCACGTATACTTTGTATTCATTTGCAGTCTCTGAAATCGCCTCAGGATAATGAAACTGAAATAAATTGAAATTTTCAGAGCTTTTTCCGCATTGGGGTTGATACTAATTGCGATCGGAACGGGAGGAATCAAACCTTGTGTTGCAGCTTTTGGAGCGGAACAGTTTAACTTGCCGGCCCAGAAGGAAATGCTGTTGCATTTTTTCTCCATATTTTACTTCACGATCAACCTCGGAGGATTTGTTGGAATGACCTTGACGCCAATACTGAAGAAGGCTGTGTCTTGTTTTGGCGACGATACTTGCTATGCTTTGGGATTTGGATTCCCTGCTGCCTTAATGATTTTATCGATATGTGAGTGAAATCCTATCTTATCAACCCATTAATGATAGGATTATTCCTAAGATAGTCTCACTGATATCATCGTGAAAGTTGAATCAGAAACAACAACAAAAAATTTGTGCTCTTTAACAACTCACCACTGACTGATACCAACATTTATAAGGACCCTTCCTATACATACATTCCTGAAGGGACAAAAAAGGTCTCAATATCATTCATCAAACATGCATTTGAATAACATAAATTAATTTTACGCCTGATCGAGTGTAAGATATTCAAGCTGTGTAAGATATTCGAGGAGTGATGTATTTATAACCAATGCATGGTTAAAGTCCGGTAGAGTTAATACAGTACATGATCAAAAATCAGTAGCTCTGAAAATATAAACAGTGACATGCAAAAGGACGGTTGTGTATCTGTAGCTGTAGCAACATAATGGTGTTTTCAGATTTGCTAGCCGACGTTTCGTCTTCCGGCCACCATTATCACCATTATTTTTTTCTTATGAGCGCACATTGGCTTTTCAAACAAACCAAACTCGGTGAGATTTTGATCCAATAACTTGAACATAGTTCGATGTGGTTGTCGTCTTCTGGGATACAAGTTCAAATACATTTTCGATGTCCTAACACTGTTTCTATCGTATTAGTAATAAATGTGTATCATATCTCTTCTTTTTTCATTCGTAAAAGCTATTTTACGCCAAAAATTCAATGACTTGTATAATAACAAAATGTTATTACGTGTAACAAATTGAAATTCGAATTTAGAAACATCAAAGTCAAAGCCTATTATGATAAAATATCTCCAATTTTCAGAAAAAGAATGATGACTTATGATACATCATTGAAAATGATAAATCTGATTCTATTCAAAACAAAAAGAATTGAATGTAGCGCCCATAAGAAAAAATAAAGTTGATGATGGTATCCGGATGACGAAATCTCGGATAGCAAATCTGAAAACACCATTATGTAGCAGAGAAAAAGTGAAAGTGTGGAAGTGCAATTTATTTTCGAATCCTTTGAAAAATAAAGCCAGAAAAAAATTAAAACCATTTTCCGAAATTTCTGTTTCTTTCGGATATCTCCGGATATACTCGGAAATTCAGAACTTTCTCAACAACATATTGCAAGTCTGGTAAATGCACAACTTTGCCCTAATTTAACCATCTTCGTATCTGTCATAGTTTCCGAGATCCCAATGGTGAGGATCGGATTTGAAACACCCTGTTGTATGTCATGCAGATAACATATTTTGATCAACGTAACATTCAGCAGATTATAACCACACGCATTTGTTCTGATGTTAGATAATGTTGCGTGAACAACCAAATCATTGACCTCTTCCAAAGTGGGATGAAACATTCACCAGGAGGTTCATCGATTTGTAAAGAATTTATGAAAATTGTATTGATCAAATTTGTTCAGGTGAAATACGCAATTTTTCAGGAAGTATTTTCGATAATCTTATTGTAGGTACACCACAAATCTGAACCAATGAGTAAAACATCCACTTTTTTCATCGTTTCCACTTTCTTCATATAGTTACATGTATCTTTATAACATTGAAAATACGAATCTTATACTTTTTTAGAGCTTCATCTCTGGTGGATACAATTTTTTTCATGGTATCCGTTAGTAAAGTGATTTTGATACAGTAACTTTTGGGATTATGGAGCGAGCATGCATGTCAATTTCATGAGGCAATTCACTGGAAAACTTACTTTATCTCCAACAATCCCCTAATCATGAATTATATCAAGCGAAAGTAAATTAAAAACGTTCGATTGTTGTCCTATTCATTTGTGAAAATTCATATTGAATATAGGATAAAGAAAATACCTTTTGTCTGATTTCTACTGAGATTTTTATTTGGTACTACCGGTATCGGTTCATTGAACCATTGTCAAGAAAACTGACGCAATTTGACAGCAAAAAACTTGGTTAGTTCAACCCCAATTCGAAATCACTTCTAGATCCTCATCAAGATATGCAACCTCCTGCTACCGATGACGATGTGCATCCGCAGCCGAGACTTTATAAGCTTAAGTGTCCGGAGTGTAATAGTTTTTATGTGGGACAATGTTGTCGAAATTTCCAAAAACGGTATGCTGAACATGAAAGGTCCTTCAGACTAGGTAAAAATGATTGAGTTGGTCAATGGTGAGTTGATCAATGACCAACTCCAAATTTGAACTTATGAATTTTGACATCTAGTATTTGGAGCAATCCACAAATAGTGTTTTTGGATCAATACTCAGTGATTTTGATATGTTATGAACGTTAAATAATTATTGTTTTGGTATCTCAGATGAGGTATTGATGATTCAGGAAGCAAAAAGTAAAAATAAAGAACTCCCTGAGAACTTGAAAAATGTAGAAGCTATTAGCGATTTTATTTCAACTATGTCTCAAAGAGATATCTCACCGGATGAAGACTTACTGCGCTTTTATGGCACGAACAGAAAAGAAGATACCTATATGTGATCAATTAATTTTTTCACCAACTACTGAAAATGAAATCTTTAGCATCATAAATAGCATAAAATCAAAAGCATATGGGTTAGTTGAAATCAATATAACTATTATAAAAATTTGTTGTCACTTCATTGTAACGGTACTAACTCACATAATAAACGAATTCATAAGTCGAAGTTGTTTTCCTGATGCACGGAAATGTGCAAAAATTATACCCCTACCAGAAAAGAATCAACCACAAAATTTTAATGATTTGAGATCAATAAGTATTCTCCCGACATGTTCCAAAATTATAGAGAAAGTAATGGAAAATCAAATGAGCCATTTCAATAAAATCGTTACAATATTTTGCCACATAAACAGTCAGCTTTTAGAAAAGGTTACAGTTATGCAACAGCATTATTAGAGAGCGTAGATGACCTAATTGAAGCTATAGATGAAAATGAAGCCACCATTTTGATTCTGTTGGATTATTCAAAAGCATTTGACACCATCAATCATAAAATACTTTGTGCTATATTACATTTTTTTGGTTTCAGTGATGCATCAGTGATGTTGATATCATCTTATCTAGATAATAGATTACAAAAAGTACAGATTCATGATATTTCTTCTACTTGGAGAGAAGTTAAAACAGGAGTACCCCAAGGCAGCATTTTAGGCCCACTTTTATATACCCTCTATACTGCCACATTTATCAAGAAGATGAAGTCTTGTACATATCACCTTTATGCAGATGACTCTCAAATATATTTATCTTTCAAATCTTCAGGTATAGGTCAAGCAGTAACCTATATAAATTTTGATTTAAATACGATTCTAAAAGTGTCCACTGACCATATGTTGAAAATCAATTCAAACAAATCAGTAGCTATTATTTTTGGAGGTGATAGCATCAGGAAAGAAGTAAAAAACTACAACTTGAAAATGGAAAACTTTTAACAATTCAGACCGTATTCAAAAAATTTGGGGTTGATTTTAGATCATAAACTAAGATTTCATGAACATATTAAAATTGCTTATTCATCATTGAAACTCATATATCCCCATAGATAATATTTGGATGTAGATGTCAAGAAAATGCTATGTGATTCATTAGTTTTATCTCATTTCAACCACTGTGTCGCTGTGTATCATTCATGTTTAGACATGAACGACAGGTGTCGCATACAAAAAGTTCAAAACTCTTGTATCAGGTTAATATTTGGTATCAGAAGAAGGTCCACAATCTCACAGAAATTGGCAGATTTGAAGTGGTTGAATATGTTTAATCATAGACGTTTTCATGCAACATGCATATTCTTTAAATATTCAAATATAGGAATCCTCCCTACTACTTATATGAACATTTGTCTTACAGGACAGATATCCATAACCTGAATTTGCGTAAAAAGACAGTGCTAAACATTCCTGTACATAAAAAGGAAATATTCATAAGATCTTTTTCCTATAATATCTCCTCCACAATGAATTATCTCCATAGATGGAGAAACAATTGTTTCAACATGTCAGAAACTGTTTTTAAAAGTAGGTTTAGACTGCATCTCTTCAGCATTCAGAATAACTAGGTCCGCGGCGAGAATCCTGAAAAAGGTTTTAACTATTCATATATCTATATCTTCATCTTACCTACCCTTTTCTTTTTTTTTCTATTTCTCTTCATTTCTTCTCTTCAAACCCTCATTTATTCATTTTTATACATTTTCGGATTTTCGGATGGGGGAAAAGCAGATGCGAATGCAAATTCGCGATCTGAACCAAAGGCCATTCGCAATCAAATACAGTGTTTTTATTTTTCTCTCTTTTGTATTTTGTTATTATCTTGTTATTTTGATTGGCAATAAACTTATTATCATTATTATTGTTATTTCAAGTACAGGTTTGATGAACCTTCCTGAATAACAATTACTATATTATTGTATATTTTCAAGGATTTGTTTGTCAAACTGTGTCAGTTAACTTGAGAATGGTTTAATAAACCGAAACCGGCCGCAACAAATAAAAATCTTAGAAGAAATTGGACAGAAGTTATGTTCCCTATCCTATATTCAAATTCAAAACTTCCTGGAAATTGTCTTCATTGAAGTATTCGAAATTTCTATGAGTAATGATTCTTGTTTTTTCAACTCAACAGTTAATCGCGATTGACAGTACACATATTCAAGATAAGATACACCAACAACAAATGAACATAACTAAATTATAACTATATTTGAAAAAGAAGGAATATGATGTTTTTTCCATGAGATTGGATTTTTTCAGTTTTATTCATCGTTGGAAAGAATGTTTACAAACTCAAATCTCCCAAGAAGAAAGTTATTCTAGAGTTTTTCAAGTGCGGATGGGTAAGTCTCCACATAGCACTCACTAACTATAAAACATATAATTAGTACGCATTAGTAGAAAAGTTCAGGACCATGAAGAGATCAGATCATTGGTTGGACAACGCTAGAGGAAAATTCAACGTGAAACTCATTGAGGATATGAAAATTGTGTCCGCCATTCTGCTGCTGTACACTCCCCTGCCGATTTTTTGGTCTTTGTTCGATCAGCAAGGATCCAGATGGACATTTCAGGTGAATTTCATAACCGTCAATGTGATTTCTGTGTTATATTCGGTATTACCTACAACTACGATTCTAATACCATTTTTAAGAACAAACTAATATTTTTGTTCACCTCAAATTGTGGGATAATAAAATCTATATAGGAAGTCGAAACTATCAATGAACTAATTGACATACTTAAACAATCTCAGTTCGATGAATATTCATTTCTTCCATTTGGATTCCGCTAGAGATTGACTATATTCTTCAAATTCATGCATTCTTTATTTTCCCTTTTATCATAAACTCTATAATATCATAATCTCCACCACATCACCAAATCCGTTCTTTCATGTGTTAACCCAGGCTGAAAAGTCCCGGGCCTAAGAAAGAAACCTCCTTTTTTTCAAAAAAATGGCTTCATTTATCAACGTAATCTCCATCAATCATTCCAGCTCCCCTCCAACATTTCAATACCACTTTTGTAAAACGATTTATCTGTTGCCCCAAAATAGGCCTCAGTTTCAGCAATAAACTTTTCATTCGAGCAAAATTTCTTACCGGTGAGCATTTTTTGAGGTCTGAGAAAAAAAATCAGTCAGCCTTCAAATGCTCCAATAACGCTATATAATGTTCACTGTTGATGTATTTCCCTTCTCGGGATAGTCGATGACAATTACACCAAAATATCAAGGCCATAACCTCTTCAGCGAATTATTGTGCTTTTGGGGACACTTTGGACGAGGTTCACCAGTTGCTCAGATGACGATCATTTTGATTCCGGAGTGAACTGATGGATCAATGTTTCATCAATTATCACATATCGACGCAAAAACTCCTGTTTGTAATGTTTAAACATGACCAAACACTGCTCAGAATCATCAAGACGTTCTTGCTTTTGGTCAAGAGTGACCTCGCGCGGCACCCACTTCAAACAGAGCTTCCTCAGAGTCAAATGCTCATGCAATATGAAACCAACAGGTTCTATGATATCTTCACAATGTTAGCTAACCCACGCAACTTTACTATTCGATAATTCAAAACGATTTTGTGGATTTTTTATGCTTTCTGGTGTTACGGTCTCATTAGGACGTCCACTGCGTTCTGCATCATTGGTGTATCCACGACCACGTCAGCAAACCAACGTTTAATTGTTCTTTCTGACAAAGCAGAGCACTTTTTAAGCAATTGCTTCACTTGAACGGTATTTTTTCCATCGAGAAGCATTGTCAAATTAAAACACGAGTTTTTTGAGCCATTGTTTTGAAAATAACAAAAGTAGTGTCACTCGTAGCACAATAACTCTTGAACTTTTCAGAAGAATATCATGAAATCTTAACAGCTTTCTTTTGAAGATTAGTACTAACTGAAAAATTGGTGAATGCAATAAGACTAGTACCATATATGTTAAGGCCCGAGCATTTACTCCACAACTATTACATCGGGTTTGTGATGTCCGGCCATAATAACATAGCAAGTCATTTTCATGCTTAACAGATTGAAAAGTAGTAGAAAATATATTTTATAGATACATACTGCATATATGATAATTGTAGCATTCTTTAGTCATTCAATAATTTTCAATGCAAAGTAAACGGAATCATCAATAGATTTCCAATCTAGTAGAACAGAAGAAAGTAGCTCGAAAGACAAAACAGTCGATCTACTGTAAAACAGTAAATTTGGCACACTAAAACGGTAACCCTGGATATTGCAATTTCCGTCACAGTATTATTTACACAGTATTATGTCATACTAGAATATTCATATGAAGCATATGAATAATTGGTATACGAAAATGGAATCTTCATGTGAAGATGAGTTCACACAATCACAAATGTCAACCTCTGTCACTCTGTCGTACTTTTCTTCTTATTTCTTATTATCACCTAAGCTACCAGGGCTGTCCTGCCAGAGGTTTCTATAGTTGGCTTCCAAAGTCACAGAATACCTTACAGAAGGGACAGTCCCTAAACTTGAAAATGCTGCGAAATGAGTGTTTCTTCTGTAAAGTATTCTCTGCCACAGAGAATACTTTACAGATCAGGGTTGAACTCCATCTAGATAGTAGCTGGAACAAAGTTCCATTGCACGAAGTTATATTCATCTACACTTCAGCATATGTGCATTTTTGTAGTTCGAAACCCTACCGATATATGTAAGAAACTACGTTTTGTGAAAGTAATCACTCAATAGATTCGTGTTAGATGCGGAGAGGAATTGAAAGATACAATAACTCGTATATTTGGTAAGAAATTAATTTGAAAAAGATGTGGTATGAGACAGGTAAAATTTTTGAAGATGAAATGATAATGGAGGGATGTTATGCATGTTGAATGTTATGCAAATTATTGAAGCAGGCGGAAAGACATGCATATGACCACATTTGCCGTGGTGATCATGTACGATCCTGATTTCTTCGCGAGAACAGGTTCAAAACCATGGTATTTTGTAAGGTCGAGGTACAGAGGAGAAGTAAAGTTTGCCTTCTATAAGCTCCTTCCTGGGGCTAGCCTGAAATACTCTATCTGAGGGCGCTATGGGAGTGTTTGTTCTCTTCCCACATTACCTAGGTTGTCTGCATCTCTTCTGTCTTAACGTGCATTATGACAACTGTCATAACATATCAAATTGAATTGATTTGTTAATTTTGTTTTTTCCTAATTATTCTAATGCTCCAATGGTAAAATAATGGAAATCAGTCCATTATTTCGCTATTTCGAGTGGAGGACAATTCATGGAACGACCATGATATGGGACTGATTTCAAGAAAATGTTTCTAAAATATATTATTATCGAAACTGATAAGTCTACTATGATTTCCTTTAGTCTTTTTTTTAAGGAAGTCCTGTGATTGGACCAAAAAGAATTGTTTGCTCATTTTCCATCTCTTGCTTGTGTTCCATATGACACAAAATTTACTGGTTATTTACTGTATATAATTATTCATTGATGATCTCGGCATGGATTTCAACTTTTGCTTCAGAAAACTGCTCTTTATCTTGAATCGTGAGTGATATTTTTCAATAGATAACATTATATTAGAATGATATTGAAAGAACACTTTTTTTATATCCAGGCCTCTCACATGAACGGCAACATAATGGGAACCCAAATAACACCAGATCAGATGCAGGTGGTAAATCCAGCAATGGTGCTCATCCTCATCCCAATATTCGACAGGATATTTTACCCTTGTTTCTCCAAAATCAACATCCTAGAAAACTCCTTGCATCGTATGGCTTTCGGCGGGATAATAGCAGGTACTGCATTTCTTTCGGCAGGAATACTGGAACTAGCTTTGGAAACGACATACCCCGAATTACCTAGAAGACATCATGCTTCGATGAATATTATGAATACCTTGCCGTGTGATTTAAAAATGTCGCATTCCCACAGCAGCTTGCAAACCATAGACTCCGGCGAATTGGTTCGAATCAAGAATATGATGTGTAATAATTTTTCAACGTACAGACTTGCCGTTGTAGCTCCGCTTCAATGTGATGATATACGATTCCATAATCACAAATTTGACTTGAGCGCTGTCTGCATAGAACAACAGGTGAGTCAGTTTTGATCTTCCTTTTATAAAATTAATAAATTGATATAAAAACAACTCAAAAAGAATATTTTATTTACGCCCTGAAAAGATAAAAATAAGATTTGAATTATAATACACCTATTCATTTTCGAATTATTTTACAAAATTCAATTGTGATCTGCAATCGAATAATACGAGAACAAAACTCTTCAGCAGTGCACATACCAAGAGCAAATAAAGCAATTGGTCAAAGATGCTCCACCTATTTTCGAGCTAAACTTCTAAATCATATTCCTGTCTCAGTTAAAACACTTAATAATATTGATCGGATGAAGGAACGCTTTAAAAAGTGGATTCTTGAACGAACTAGACAATTCGTTAAAAACTATGTGGACCCAGCAAATTGATTCATATTTCATATTTTTTTATTTTCTTTTCTTCTTGATTAGTTTCAATTTACTCTCATAAGCTCCTAAGTGAATTCAAAAAGCAAATGTTTCCGCAATAACAGGCTGTACACTGATGAGCTGATGAGGTAGAAAAATCATGATTCTCATAAGACCTGTCTGTTTCCACAGACAGGTTCCATGTGAACATAAGTGGACATCATTTTTATTTGTTCACTATTCTAATATATAAAAATGGATGTTTATTGGTTGGTTGGTTGGTAAGTGATAAACTTCTACATCGCTCAACCGATCGTGATGAAACTTGACATGCATAAGTAATTTTTCATAGAGAAGGTTTTTAGGCTATCAATTTTTCTGTAACTCGCCACTAGATGGCGCTGTAGAACAATTTTTTGAAAGCACTGTTCTATACCGCTGCGCACACCTAAGTTCGTTGATTCTGATTCTGTCAAAACATTGGAACAGCATAGTACTAGTGTACTATATAAAAATGGATGTTTGTTGGTTGGTTGGTAAGTGATAAACTTCTACATCACTCAACCGATCGTGATGAAACTTGACATGCATAAGTAATTTTTCATAGAGAAGGTTTTTAGGCTATCCATTTTTCTGTAACTCGCCACTAGATGGCGCTGTAGAACAATTTTTGAAAGCACTGTTCTATAACGCTGCGCACGCCTAATTCTGATTCTGTCGAAACATTGGAACAGCAGCGATACAGCAACATAGTACTANTGGACGAGTGCCTGTGTGGGTGATTTACTACGCACCTCACCACGCCTTTTGTCAAGTCGTTAGCGTTTAATGTCAGCGTTGTCATTAACAAATTTTTCTTGCTGTTTTAACTTCTTTTTCTCTAACAATCTTTTTCTTTGTGTTGTTGTTTCTTTATTTCCCATAATGTTCCCACGAGTTACGAAGAAATATCCGCCAACCCAGTGCTTCGTTTAGAAAGGTAAGAGCTAATAAACAACAGTGTTCACCCAGGTGCCCTGAGGCGGTGAGGTCACGACATTATTTTATACCATTATGCCACTCAATCCTCGGCACGGCCTCACCGTGACTTGGCTAGTAATTTGGTAATGTATGCGCCACTGGTTTCAGCTTTAAGCTTGCTCGTGACTGACGAAACACCGTTCCGGGTTTCATATTGGAGTATTCCGTCTTCAAGATAGGTTGCAAGCCAATGTTATTGACGCCCATCTCACCAAATTACACAAATCATGATATGCCTTTTATGCCTGTTACTACGGTTGACCTTCGAAGAGTTACCTGGTTTGGAGCCAACCCTGGATGTGGCAACAATTTCATGGTGGACCCACCAACCGTCTACCCATCTGAACGAGTATGCAAAAGTTCAAATCCCTACTGTCGACCGTTGAGGAGTTCCCTGGTTTGGAGCCAACCGTGGATGTGGCAGCAATTTCATGTTGAACCCACCAACCATCCTATCATATCCGAACGGGTATGCAAAAGTTCGAGTCCATACTGCCAACCGTTGAGGAGTTCTCTGATTTGGAGCTAACCCTGGATGTGGCTGCAACTCCATGGTGGACCGACTAACTGTCATCCATATCTTAAAAGGTGTGCAACATTTCATGTCCCTACTGTCAACCGTTGGAGAGTTTCCTCGTCTGGAGCCAATCCTAACAGCAGCATCACGTCATGCTTATCATAAAAATGCATTGTCATCGGGACTGGATCAATATATAAAATTTCAGCTCAATCGGACATCGGAAAGTGTGTCAAATTTGATTTGCAAGGTTCCACTACCACATAGAAACATACATTAAGTCAAATTAAATAAAAGCTTCATTCATAATAGAGTATCATCCGCCACTCAATATGAAAGTGAAGCCAGTGATCTGGTCGCTTTTAGTTTTGGAGCATAGAACATATCATTTGGGGTTTTTTAGTCGTATATTAGAAGAAAACTTTCAATTATTTATGTAAAAGAAAACTTTATCTTCTTCATCGCGTCGTGAAGAGTATGGCATTTCTGGTGATTGGGAAAAGTGGATTCATTCTATTCCAGATGTTCCAGTTTCACATTTTTATTAGGGTACCTTTTCACTCTATTCTCAGATACACATGATTTCGGGAAGAAATTCGCGAAATTTTTTTTTGTGGAAAGGCTGTTTGGAACGGGACCTTTGTGAGTGTTTATAGTTATCATGTCAGATTTTACTATTCACAACTTTCGAAACTACTCAAAAATCTAAAATCTGTTCATCCATCAAACAAAGCAACCCGAAAAACGATAGATGCGTGATCAAAGCATGATCACCACGCACATTTGCATCTATTGTGTAACGCTGGCTTATCAGATTTAACTGCAATCGGCTGGCGGAATTTATTGTTTCAGATATATCGTTATAACTTATTGTAAAAAATTATTAGATATCATCGTGAAAGTTGAATCAGAAACAACAACAAAAAATCTGTGCTCTTTAACAACACACCACTGACTGATACCAACATTTATAAGGACCCTTCCTACATACATTCCTGAAGGGACAAAAAAGGTCTCAATATCATTCATCAAACATGCATTTGATTAATTAATAAATTAATTTTACGCCCGATCGAGTGTAAGATATTCAAGCTGTGTAAGATATTCGAGCTGTGATGTATTTATAACCAATGCATGGTTAAAGTCCAGTAGAGTAAATACAGTACATGATCAAGAATCAGTAGATCTGAAAATATAAACAGCGACATGCAAAAGGACGGTTGTGTATCTGTAGCTGTAGCAACATAATGGTGTTTTCAGATTTGCTATCCGACGTTTCGTTTTCCGGCCACCATTATCACCATTATTTTTTTCTTATTAGCGCTACATTGGATTCTTTCTGTTTTGAAAAGAACTAGATTTTACCTTTTCAATGATGTATCATAAGTAATCATTCTTTTTCGAAAAAATAGAGATATTGAAAAAAAATAATTCCTATCATAATAGTCATTGAATTTTTGGCAAAAAATAGCTTTCACGAATGAAGAAAAAAGAGATATACAAATTTATTACGAATACGATAGAAACAGTGTTAGGACATCGGAAGTGTATTCAAACTTGTATCTCGAAAGACGACAACCACATCGAATATCACCGAGTTTGGTTCACTTGAAAGGCCGAGGAAAAATACGGAGACAGAATGGACCAGGAAACTAAAGAACATTTGATAATGAGATACACATATCTCAAAAATTGCATCCAGGTGATCCCGAAAGGCGATTAGAATTTTCTAATTGGCTATTAAGAAGACCTGATTTTCCTGTTTTCCTGGAAAATATAATTTGTACAGATGAAAGCACTTTTACGAATTGTGGGATATTCAACCAAAGTAACGAACACATTTGAAGCATAAACAACCCCAGGCAGTTCAAAAAATTCGACCTCAAGTGTCATTTGGTATTAACGTGTGGCCAGGAATTTACAAAGATAGAATGTTGGGTCCTCATTTATTTGAAAAATCATTGTTTCAAAGGTTATTCAGGGTGGCTCGTTTCCAACTCAAATGATTTGTAGCTCCGAACCATAAGCTTCAGACCATATGTTTTATACTTTGTTAAAATCGGCTCATCATGTAGCAATTAATAACGTGAAACACTATAGGGTGATCCATTTAAAAAAATTGATGACATACTCTGGGGGTGCGATAGGGAAAATGACCTCAAATGTGAATATGTCAGTATCCCCCTGTATATTATAATTGACGTGTTATTTAATTTTTCCTGCAAATCATTGTACCAAAAGTTATTCAGGTTGGCTCGTTTCAAATGAAATGAACTGTATGGTTACCCTCTATTTCTGTTGTACAACTGATAAATTCTTGATATTAATTTTCAGCAATTCTTTCATTGTATCTGCGAAACATCTTACTATTTTCTGAAAATGCAGCAACCGTTGTTTACCATATATTCATTATGGTGTGCTACATTGTTCCTATGGTTGGAGCTGTATGCGCAGACATATACTTTGGAAGATACAGGTAAAAATTCATTCATCCCATTCATACATTACATAATTTCTCAAATATATATAGTACGAGTATCATTGAATCTGATTTTTGATTAACAATTCACGATAACAAAAAATGTTTCAGTTGTTTTTCAATAAAATCAACATTTTCAGATAGATGAAACTATTTCAATTCATCCCATCGGATTAATAACTTTATACCAGTTAGTAAGGAATTAATTTGTCAGAAAAAAATATTGTTTCATATCTTCGACTAAGCCCAAAAAATTATAACCCAAAAAATGCTATTGATAGTATATTTTAGAGAACTTGCTGCGTTCAAACATTTAAGATTTTTTAACCATTGCAAACATATCATTTTATTCAGTTTCATAAATAATCTGATAGTTTTTCTAGAAGACCCTCATTGTATATAATAATAATATGTTTATTATCGCATACACTGATATACATTACATAGAGTGTTATCGAAAATAAACAAGATATTCACAGAAGCCATAGAAATCTATAGCTCGTTCGTGATAAGGATACATTGTAATTAATATTGTGACAGAACCATTCTTCAATCTCAATAAAATCTTTTTCTGGAGACATTTTCAATTGGTTCCATGAAGAGTCGGTATACAAGACAG